GCCAGAACCTTGGTAGGCAGGACCAGCACCGCCAGCGCCAGCACCAGTTCCAGCACCCTGATCGGCATCTTTAGCATGCTTCTCGGCAGGAGGGCTTACGTGCACGCACATCCAACCGCCGGGCAGACCATTGCCAGCCATGGTCTCACTCGCCAGACGAGGAATCATGCCCGTGGCATAGGGATAGGGCATCTTTGGCATGACGTCCGGTCCTCCGACCACCGGCTTGGGGATACGGCTGCTGTCTTTGACAGGGTTCGGCACGCTTCCCCACATCCAGTCGGAAGCCTTGCTCGAGATCTTGGTCAGCCACGACATGAGGTTCCTCGCCTCCAACTTGCGGTGTCTACCGTACCGATCACAGCCATAGTGATCCCGTCAGCAACTTGTCGTAAAGCTATCATATCACCAGGAGAGCGGGATATACTCACTTGACCATTCGTGGATGCAGGTGAGGCAATCCAGCCTGAGTGGCATTCGCCTCGAGAGCCAAGAGGATCGGCGTGATCACCAGCAGCAAAGCCAGCAGCTTCGCCATGTTGAGCGTGAGTTGAGACCTCATACTGCAGCAGATGCGGGAGGAAAGAGATCGTGGATAGTGGAAGCGGGATGCTAAGGGGGCTCGTTCGTACGGCTGCGCTAATAAAGGCTACAGAGACGCCCACCGACTGACCATGCTTCATCTGGCTCCGGTGGGTGGCTTCAATCAACAAATGAAGTTCTCCACCGCAACATCGACGCCGCATGGATAGGGCCGATGAAGTGGGTGCGCATGGCAAAGCGTGTACATCACTCTTCCGTGCGTGAAGCCCACACACCAATTCAACCTCCTCAACCTCGTGTGTGCACCGATCCAAACTCATCGTGCCAGCATCTGGTCTGTGCGCTTTTGCGCGACGCCCGTAACACGGTTGTATACGCTGTAAGCATTGTGATTTACAGTCCCCGATCTCGCCATGGCGACAATGTATCCCTGTTTTGACACAGTGTCGCCTTGTGGAGTGATTGAGGCACCTTGGAGGTGCTCCGCCCGCATGGCCCCACTCTCTCTTTTGTTTGACGAGGGGTTCAAGAAGATGATGGTGACTACCAGGTACGCTGAGCAAAAAGGATCGAGCCCCGCCTATGCACAGGTTCAAGTGGGTATAATAGCGTCGAGGCCCACATCTATCGAAGGGGGGGGGGGGGGGGGGGTTGTGGGGGGGGGGGCGCTGA